CCGGTCTCGCGGGCCTCGCCTATGGGACCGGCCCACTACCCAGCCCACCTCCCCACGGTCCCGGTCCTATCCGGTTAGAACCGTTTAGGCCCACTGCCCATTTGGGCTTGCGGTCCTGGGTCGGTCCGGTCCTAACCGGCCCACATGTCACCCTTAATCTGAGCAAATATCATAGAGGGTGCCACCCCTTTTTCCTTAAAGATTGAGAAAGAAGAATGATGACCACATGTTTCACAAATTCCTAGATATACTGAAGCGGATACACTTGAACATTCCTTTGGTGGACATGCTCTGTGAGGTCCCAAAATATGCAAAATATATTAAGGATATAGTGAAAAATAAAAGGAGGTTAACGGAGTTTGAGACCATCGCACTTACTAAGGAGTGCATTTCTAGGATTCAACATAAGCTTCCACAAAAGCTTAAGGATCCGGGTAGTTTTACCATCCCCGTGAGGATTGGTGAAATTGATGTGGGTAGAGCCTTGTGTGATTTGGGTGCAAGTATCAATCTGATGTCGTTGTCAGTGTTCAAACAATTGGGCTTAGGAGCTCCGAGACCCACCACAGTGATGCTACAGTTAGCTGATAGATCTTATGTTTATCCTGAGGGGGTAATTGAGGACGTCTTGCTGCAGATTGGGAAGTTTATTTTCCCTGCAAATTTTATCATCTTAGACTACGAGGCAGATGAGTTAGTTCCTATCATCTTGGGACGACCTCTCTTGGCCACTGGAGATGAAATTATCAAAGTCCGAGAATGAAAGATGTTCCTAAGGGTGGACAATGAGGAAGCAGTCTTCAATGTATATCGAGCCATTCAGTTGCCTCGTCATTACGAGGACTTGGCCATGATTTCTGTGGTGGAGATAAATGAACCAGCCATAGAGCTAAGTGCATTTAAAGAAGATGCACTAGAAAAGGCATTGGTGTTGTTCAATCACTTGGAACTTGAAGAAGAGGTTGAGGAGATGTTGCAAATTCTGGATGCATCTTGCGAATACATAAGAGAAAGATCCCAATTTGAGCCTCTGGATAGGTCAATCGGCCCGCCTCCTAAACCCTCAGTTGAGGAGGCCCCAAAATTGGAACTTAAACCCTTACCATCTCATCTTCATTATGCATATTTGGAAAGTTCTAACACTTTACCTGTGATTATTTCTTCTCATTTGTTTGAACTGCAGGAAGAAAAGCTCTAAAGGGTGATGAGGGAGCACAAGTATGCCATTGGTTGGACAATGTCTGACATAAAGGGTATTAGCCCTATATTCTATATGCACAAAATACTCATGGAGGAGGGACACAAGCCTAGTCGAGAATCAACGCCACCTAAATCCAATCATGAAATAAGTGTTAAGAAAAGAAGTGATTAAGTGGCTTGACGCAGGTATAGTATTTCCTATCTCCGATAGTAAGTGGGTAAGCCCTGTTCAATGTGTACCTAAAAAGGGGGTATGACTGTTGTAGTGAATGAACAAAATGAATTAATCCCAACTAGAACTGTGACTGGTTGGCGAATATGCATAGATTATAGGAAGTTGAATAATGCTACACGAAAAGATCACTTCCCTCTCCCCTTTATTGATCAAATTCTTGATAGATTAGCCGGACAGGAATACTATTATTTCCTTGACGGCTATTCGGGGTACAATCAGATTGCTATTACCTCGGAAGATCAAGAAAAGACCACTTTTACATGCCCTTATGGTACTTATGCATTAAGATAATTCCATTCGGGTTGTGTAATGCACCTACGACTTTTCAAAGGTGTATGATGGATATTTTCACCGATATGGTGGAACGGTTTGTGGAGGTTTTTATGGATGATTTTTATGTGTTTGGTTCTTCTTTTGATGAATGCTTGACCAATCTTGCTAAAGTGCTTGCTAGGTGTGAGGAGACTAATCTGGTACTGAATTGGGAAAAGTGCCATTTTATGGTACGTGAAGGTATAGTGCTGGGACACAAGGTATCCAAAGATGGACTGGAAGTTGACAAGGCTAAGGTGGAAGCAATTGAAAAGTTACCACCACCGATTTCAGTGAAATGAGTTAGGAATTTTCTTGGACAAGCAGGTTTTTATCGCCGATTTATAAAGGATTTCTCAAAAGTTTCCTCCCATTTGTGTAGGTTGTTAGAGAAGGATGTGTAGTTTAAGTTTGACGATGCTTGTCTGAAAGCATTCGAGGAGCTGAAAAAGAAGTTAGTGAGTGTACCAATCATAGTGGATCCTAACTGGAACGAGCCATTTGAGCTGATGTGTGATGCTAGTGATGGTGCAATTAGGGCCGTATTGGTCCAGAGGAGGAGAAAAATATTTCACTCCATTTACTACGCCAGAAAGACTCTCACTCCCGCTCAAATAAATTATACTGTGATAGAAAAGGAGTTGCTTGTTGTAGTGTGGGCATTCGATAAATTTGGGCCTATTTGGTTGGCACCAAAGTCATCGTCTACACAGACCATGCAACCATTAGGTATTTATTTGAAAAGAAAGATGCTAAACCAAGGCTAATCCATTGGGTTTTACTCTTGCAGGAATTTGACTTGGAGATCCTAGACCGTAAAGGAACAGAGAATCAAGTGGCTGATCACTTGTCCAGGTTAGAAACTCGGAATCATGTAGCTGAGGGAGATGTCATCAAGAAAACATTCCCGGATGAGCAATTGTTGGCCATTACTATTGGGGAGGTGCCATGGTATGCAGATTTTGTAAACTATCTGCCAAATGGAGAAATGTCGCCTGATCTTGAACCTTATGCTAAAAAGAAGTTCTTGCGAGATGTGAGATCATATATGTGGGATGAGCCATTTTCTATACAAATCTTGTATTTATCAGTTAATGAGAAGATGTGTGCCCGAATCTGAAATAAATGCTATCTTACATGACTGCCATGCATCGCCTTATGGTGGTCATCATGCGGGTGACAAAACGGCAGCTAAGGTGTTGCAATCGGGTTTTTATTGGCCTATGGTGTTTAAAGACGCCCACGAGTTCGTGAGGAGATGTGATAGGTGCCAGAGAACAGGAACAATTATGAAAAGGCATGAGATGCTAGTGCACAACATTATGGAGGTTGAAATTTTTGATGTGTGGAGAATTGATTTTATGGGTTCGTTTCCCTCATCCAGTTGGTGTAAGTATATTTTGGTAGCCGTTGACTATGTGTCGAAATGGGTGGAGGCCATCGCTCTTCCTACCAATGATGCCAAGGTTGTGGTCAACTTTGTGAAAAAGAATATCTTTACAAGGTTAGGCACTCCGAGAGTGATGATAAGTGATGGGGGCACCTATTTCTGTAACAAGCTCTTGGACAATGTCTTAGCGAAATACGGGGTCAAACATAAGGTTGCAACCGCTTACCATCCTCAGACTAGTGGACAAGTTGAAGTCTCAAATAGAGAGATAAAGCAGATTCTGGAGAAGACGGTTAGTGTAAGTAGGAAAAATTGGGCTGCAAAGCTTGATGATGCTCTATGGGCATACCAGACCGCCTACAAAACTCCAATCGGAACCTCCCCTTACAAGCTGGTTTATGGGAAAGCATGCCATTTACCGGTGGAACTTGAGCACAAGGCCTATTGGGCGATAAAGAAGCTGAACTTTGATGCAGACTTAGAGGGTAGAAAGCGATTGATGCAATTGAACGAGCTTGATGAGTTTCGCTTGCATGCATATGAGAATGCCAAGTTATATAAAGAAAAGACCAAGCACTGGCATGATAAGCATATCCACCATCGTGAGTTCGAACCGGGTTAATTTGTTCTCTTGTTCAATTCGAGGTTGAGACTCTTTCTAGGGAAGCTCAAATCGAGATGGTCGGGCCCGTTTGAGGTAGTGAGAGTCACTCCACATGGTGCAATTGAGTTGTGCGTCTTAGGTGGCGAGAGAACGTTCTTAGTGAACGGACAAAGAGTAAAGCACTATTATGGAGGTGACTTTGATCGTCAAAAGTCGAAAGTTTTACTTGCCAATGATTAGACAAGATTCTATGTCGTGCCGCGACGTTAAATCAGGCGCTTGTTGGGAGGCAACCCAGCTTTACTTCTTTCTTTTATTTTTATTTTTTTCTTTATTGTTGTAGTTTCTACTCTTGTTTTTTAGGATTATAAGTATAGTAAGCAAAGCCATTGGAAGAGTGCAAAGTGAGCTAGATGGTGAGAACTAAGTGTGGGGTACCCAAACAAAGGACCATATCTGGGGGGAAGTTTGAGTACCCGTGAGCCGCTATTGCTTCGGCTATTGGCCTTTCAGGGAGTTTCTTTTCCACCCTTATTATTGTTTTGCTTTATTTGTGCATTGGGGGCACTGCACTCTTTTAAGTGTGAGGTGGGAGAATTTCTCTAGATAATTAGTAGTAGTATGTTAGTAAAAATGTTAACTTCTTATTTTGATTTTAGTTTCTTATTTTTTGTTTTCGTAGTTATGTAGTATTTAGTAGCTTAATTTCTTTTTAATGTGGAAAATAAGAAAAATCAAAAATCAAAATAGAAAAATTGGACTTTTCCCAACAATGGATCTCCTAGACAGTTTTCTTGAAGGATTAACGTCAAAAAAAAAATTCAAAAATAAGTTTTTTAGTTTCCTTTAGGTAGTAATAATCCCAGTGATTTTTCTTTGTACCTCGATTCTTTTCCATGGGATGTAGTGTCACGAGCCAAAACTAACCCTTGTCGTGACGGCGCATATCGTGGAACTAGGCAAGCCGACTCATTTCCAAAACAAAATGATATTTTCATTTCAAAGATA